AAAGTCACTTTTCACCTATCTTTCCAATACCGATCCTATATCTCATATCATTTCTATCCAAATTCCCTTTGTTAGAGTCAAACCTCTCTTACATCCTATCTAAGGGAACGACAAGTTGTTACAAATTAGATCGCGTCCTCTCACCTAGCCATGCCTAAGCGCAATATTACCAGGTTAGCTACATCTCGAGCAGAGTCCAGCGCGACAGCGCGAGAAGCATATAACATGTCCAGAAACCCTGAGAGCCGCAACCTAATGGTAAGTGCAACACGGGATGATGAGGTACGACGACAGTAGACATAATATTATCATTAGGCAACCAATCACACCGCGGGGACTTTTCAGAAATTTCAACACTAGCGCCCTTCAATGGAAATGTACCTAACTAAGATTTAGTGTATTTTCCATTATATTTTAAGTGTTATGTGGTTCAGATTCACAATAGTCTATTGCGAATTACGAGTACGTTTTTTAGTTTTTTTGATCCTTAGAACATATACTACTGGAAGCAACGTCTCAGTGGCCGAGAGTATAGCGGAGGACCAGATTAATTAATCTGGGGCCGTACCATGTTACAGAATAACACCAATTAATACCGCAGGAGAATGATAGATGGTCTAGTAGTCGCTCTGCACTGCAGTCAGAACATAGTATTAATTATATATGCTGTGCTGCAGCGATTAACACAACGGAATTTATATACCATAGACAAAATTATATACCATACATGTGATATGCGACACATCTTCGTATTTATATTCTTAATGGTATGGTTAAGAAAGACTTCATTGGAAGCATCACTTGCTCCAGACGCAACTGGCGCCATCTTACATCCGGCCTGTGAACAAAGCAGCTGGAACACAAAACAGAAACTGCAGTGACCGTGCTAGCCGTCTTTGGTTTGAGAATGTAGTTCGAAAACTATGCAATAGATGTCGCTTTATTGCGCTACACTTGGCGGCAAATTTAAATATACCATAATATTCAGAATGCAACGGATATATGGAATAAAATTCATATTCATTGTCTACAAAGCTTTATAAAAAAATATCAGTTCTAATGTAAAAATTGACCAGATTTTTTTACAAAATTATGTAGTCAATGACATGAATTTCATTTCATGTAAGTTACACACAAAAATGGTATAAAAGATTGACTCTTTCAGTAGGTATATCCATTAAGAGGCAATTATTGTTTTCACTTTTTAAACAATAACTAAAAAATGCATAAGCAGTTGTTTTTTAAATGCATGTACTTAAATTTATTCTGTTATAAATAGGAAAAGAAGATAATTACTAGTAATTAATAGTGATTACTGTGATACAAAATAGACATATACTTACCTTTCCCCTCTTTATGGAAAATATTGTTAGATACATTTGTTTAAAACTATATTGGTTCTCATCAGTACGATGCATGTACTACTGATTATTATTTTCTGCAAAAATTTAAATACTGATAGTATGAGTAACAAATCCAAAAATCCGTTTTTTGTTGTCTACTATTCGACATACAAGTGAAGTTTTGCAAAATGAAGTATTATGTGAAGTACTTACACAACCAGTATTTGAATCTACTTCATCCGGCACCTAGATAAATGATGATCCGGCATGGTATCGTTAACAATAACAGTACTAGTACTTGCAGTGGTATTTAGAGATGGCAATTTGGAATAAGTGTATTTTGGTTTTTTAAATGGTGGTTCTGGAAAATCATCATTGATGTTTGGCATTTATTAATTTCGGCATTTTCTAATGTTTCACTAACAAACTATTTAACTGACTCTAGAGTAGTTTTCAAGTAAACGTTACTATTAAGAGAATCTAAATGTGATGATATACTATTTGATTCACTAAATATTGTTGGCACTGCATTTTTATTGAGGCTATTCTTCCTACTATTTCTAAAACATTTTAATTCAAAGTGGTCTTCGCAAAAATAACATTTTTCGTTGATGAAGTTAAAATCTGGTTTACATTCTATCCAAATCATTTTCCTGTCTGCACTCTGCAGTAACTCTGAAAAAGCTTTTATTTCTGTAAGAAGTATCTGTGGTATATAAATAATATGTATTCTTGCAGTTTGGTGCACAACAGTAACGTGAGATCATTCCAGACATTTTCTATTAAAAAGTAAAACAAGCAAAAGCAGTAAGACAATTCAGATGAACGATTCAACAATTATAATTATCTTCTTGCGTTACATTAAATTTTAGTCTAAAATAGAAAACAATTATTATCAAAAGCACGGTAACTTACGAGTTAATTAGTCATAATACAACCACTTTCTAATCTGTGAATACAACATAGAGAAGAAATAACCTCAAACCTAATCCACAGAACACATCCCCTTTGTGACCTAATTTTCAATACACGTATTCTTTCGTATTGAACAAAGTGATTGAAATCAACAGTAAAGAACCAATCATGATTAAGAATTTTAAAAATGCTGTATTATGATTGGCTAGTTACCGATTGCAATCAGTTTGTTCAGCTTCCGCACGAAAGAATACATGTATTATCATCAAATTTTTAATTTTTTCAGCGAACTCTAAAGGTTCTAATAACAATATTACTTTTCTGTTCAAGTTAGTATTACAGTTTTCGATACGTAAATAGTGCTAACGATGGCGTGTTTTCCAGGCCCATTGCGAGATGGCCCTCGAACATTCATGATTCTGCTCTTCCTATCCTTTTTACGGGTCTTATTTATTTACTTATTTAGCTCATAGACCTTATAAACTACTAGTTTACTAGGTCTATGATTTAGTCATACTCATATGTATAGATTATATATGAAAGACATCACTTCTATTTTCTGCACATGATTTTAAAGGAACGAGTTTTAACATTCAATTTCGAATTAGTATTAATGTATGTTTTGTGGAATTAAGTCGGTTTAATTTGTCTAAGTATTGAGTGAAATACCTACATGCAGAAAGCCACAGAACATAGCACGTAACAGTAAATAGTGGTGTTTACATTTTTTTCTTATCAGATTTCACTGATCATCGATTTCAGCAGCTAGCATTGGCATATACATAGATAAAAGAGTTAGGCATATATTTCTTTATGAAATTTTGGTCTATTTTGTGAAACATTTGTATCATATGTATATATCAAAAAAATTGATGTAAGTAAATCTCAAAAATTAAATAATCTTAGACCCATATTAGGCTCTATTTGGTTTTACTGTATTTTCTATTCTATATCTACTTTTATTTACTAAAACCGACAAAGTCTAAAGTGCATGATTTTGTGTTATAATTATGGGAAATGCATTAAAATATTTTGAATCTCAGTCTCTGCACCTGGACAGTTTAAAATTCGATATGCCAGATAAGTTCGTCCCTGTAAATAAATTTCAATTCATGAGTCCCTTTGAGGATGATTCAACGAATGGTTTATACTTTAATGACATTTACCTCCCAGAGGAAATTATTGCAAATATTTTAAGCCATGTACCACCAAAGGATGTGCTAAAGTTAACCCGAGTCTGCAAAAAGTGGTGCAATATTGTTAAATCTGAAAATTTTTGGATGCATGTTTACAATAGACATCACAGCAAGGCAAAGAAATTACCATGGTATGTGTACTACTGTTATTTTACTACTAATAATTTTGAAAACTTGTTAAAGAATGGGAATGGACAGGAGCAATACAAACACTGGAAGATAATAAAAAACTTTGGGGACAAATTTACAATAGAGGATCCACCAACTGGAGCAGATCCATTACCTTTAGGTGTGCCCGACTTTAATGGACATACTAGTTGTTTTGCTACATCATTTCAAGATTGCAATAAAATACAAGTAAGTATTTTAATTTAATGTATAATTAAAATTAATTTAATTTTTATCAAAAATCAATACAAATGTTTTGTTTTAGATAATTTCACTTAAAAATAAAAGACTTCTCCGATATATATTAAATAAATTCAATCCTCACATTTACGCAAGTGAATGGGTTACTGGGAGGTTTGACTGTGGATGTACTTATAGTCTAGTTCTTAAAGGGTATAAGGAAAGTTTTAATGAAGAAGAACTGGACGATTTTAGCGATGAGGAGGACGAGTCCAATACAAATGCTCTATTTTATTTAGCAACTGGAACTAATGTAGAACAGTGGCAAGGAAGACAGTGGGAGAAGGTTAGTAGTGATTATTGTCAGTATCTTTTTTTATTAATTGTGGATGAAAAAACTTATCGAGTCAAAAAAATCGAAAATGTTAAGTGGGTTTAAGTGATATTTCATTAGTTTTGTTCTTTAGGTCGAAGTTTTAGTAAAGGAATATCCTCCTGATGTTGCAGTATTAATTTTCGAACATGAAGGAAGTGATACCCAGTTCTGGAAAGGCCATTACGGAAGTAAGATGGCCGGTGGTGTAGTGAAGATTGTATTTGATAGTATTCACCCGTCGGAAGATGAGCTTGGAACAAATTTAAGCCAGTCTGATGAAAATTCCAAAATGGATATGTAACTTTTTTCAACATCATACAGCGTTTTTATTTTGGGCGAAATATGGAATTCGAACGATTTTTCACTAACGACATACTATATACTTATTAAATTAATATTATATTTTGTAAAAGTTAAACAGTTGTATTTAAGGATACCCCATAAATTATTAAAATATTAACAATGTAAAAGAAATACTTTTTATAGTCCATAAGTAAAATTTACACAATATTTGTAAGAACAATTTAAATTGGAATAAAATTGATTTTGATCAAGATTTTAAAATTGTTTTTACAGAAAACAATGTGGAAATGTTGTGCTTCTGTAGAATTTTGTATTCCTGGCTGAGAAGGGTGACATTTGGACTGTGATATACAACAAATTTAAAAATGTAATTGTTTTATTTTAAGGGCACAAGATTTATTTCTATATGTGCTGTAGATGAGTAAATTTTATAATTACTAAGTGTCAGGTTTAAGATGACTCCCTAGGCTGCCTATTAAAGAGCAGGGGACATGTGGATTGTAACTGTGCCAATACAGTGGAGGGGACCTAAACTGTTTTTTAGGGGACGACTTTCGTAACGAAAAAATTTTGAACAAAATAAATTTTAATAGGGGTAATCTCCCCTAAGCTCTCACCGAAAAGTTGGCACACACATAAAAATTTTTTATTTTCATTACTGCTATCAATGTTTCTCTTGAGGTTCTTGTAAAATAATAACATTATTGATTCGAAATATGCTTCTTTATTTTTTTATTTAAATTAATTGAAACTAGCCGAAATATTTCTAACAGGAATTTAAAAAATCCATTAGCGTACAGTATCTGGCTAATTCGAAAAGAAGAGAAATCCAATTTGCCATAAAACAGAGACAGATATTGACAGAATGTAAACGGTATGTTTTATTTCCCTTGGCAAGCTTTTTAAGAACATATAATCAATTATTGTGTTGCACAGGACCTTACTATTTTTTTTTTTATAAAATAGTCGAATGAGTTTCCCATATTTCTGCCACTCTGTTGAAAAGTCTTGATTATTACATATTTTATGAAAACTTGACCCAATATAGCATACACCAAATTTAGTTCAAATACCTTTATTATTTCACAAGATATTTACAGTAAATTAATTTTTTTTTTTTCTCTTAACACCCTGTATCTCGAAATCGGTTGAGATTTCGAAATAAGTTTATATGACAAAGTATCATTATCTTTCGTTGTACTATCCTCTCTCAAAGTCTCAGATTAAAATTGAGACGCCCTGTAACAAAACGAGGCACCGATATAATCAATTGTTCTTTATTTTGCCAAATTAACGTTGCCCGCCCAGCATTCTATTATCCAGTATCGGGTCAATTAATTTTATGTATGTAGTTCAACTAAACTGTCGGAGGTTATGGACACTGAGACTCACGAACTAAATAGTGCTCCAAAAATAGTAAAATTCTTTTTGTTAAAAACTTGAAATTATTTTAAAATATCTTTCAAATCTATCAGAGTAGTAATTTTTATCATGCAAATTAGTTTCATTTATAATTAGTAACGTAGGCCAATCTACACACCCATAATATTTAATACATCATGTATACAGCACGTCTGCGGATTGAGTTTAAAAGAGGATAAATGGACCAAAAAGCGAAAGATATGAAAAAAAGGCATTCTTGATAAAAGTTTTTGCTTGTTTAGAAAATATGAATCACAAACTTCAATTTTGTTCTACAGGGTGGGTCAAAAACACAGAAATGTTATTTTGCGTAAGAGTAAACATACCGTATATGCAAGATATGAAAAAAAAGGCGTTCTTGATAGAAGTTTTTGTTTGAGAAATGAATGTCACTTTACCAAAAATTTAATTTTTTTATACAGGGAACAAAGGACAAAACTGAAACACGTCTTATTCAAGTGTAATTAATAAATAATACGTAACATAATTACTGCAACTAAGCCGAAAAAAGTGAATAAAGCAATATGATGAAGATATCAAATTTCAAAAACACCATCCCCATATTGACCACATTTTTCCAATTGCTTCCTTAGATATTTGAAGGAATTTCTGATTTCTTCCTGGGATATTGAACGAACAGCCTGGGTAATTCTGCCTTTTAGCATTTCAATATTATTTGGCACTGGAGATACATAAACAATTTGTTTTAAACGGCCCCATATAAATATATCAGCCATGGTTTAGTCAGGGCTCTTTGGGGCCACAAAATTGGACCATTTCTACCAATCCATCTTGGACCAAATCTATAGTTAAGCCATTCTGTTACCTCACGAGCACAATGTGCTAGACAACCATCCCGTTCAAAAAAAACATTTTTTGGCAAAAATTTAATGGTAAATTTTTAAGTTCATCGCTGAAAAATGTATCAAACATTTCTAGGTACTCTGATTAGAGGTGTGCTAGAGAATACTAATTAAATTTTTGATGACGTGACATTCATTTTTCAAGAAAAAACTTTTATCAAGAATGCCTTTTTTCGTATTTTCCAAAATAAAGTATGTTTACTCTTACTCAAAATAGCATTTTTGTATTTTCGATATACCCTGTACAACAAAATTGAAGTTCATCCTGGTGATACGTATTTTCTAAACAAGCAAAAACTTTCAAGAATGCCTTTTTTCGTATCTTTCAGTTTTTGGTCCACTTGTCCTCTTGTAAACTCAATCCGCGAACATACTGTATATTATATATATTGAGACGTTTTTGAAAATCAACACAAAATGAAAGGAACAAAATTATAATATTAAGACAGAAAAATTTCAAGTAAAGTCGAAAAAAGAAGCATGTACACAAGAAAAGCAGATCTAGTCAATGGAAATCCAATAAAAAAATTAAAATAGTTGTATAATTGAACCGGTAAAAACATGATATAAACATAAATGTAATTAAAATATCAACGATAAGATAGTAAATTTCCTAAGATAGAACGTTAATAACAGAAATTTCATATCTAAAATAGAAGCAAAACCAAGAAAGTAGCATATCAATTTAAGATAGATAAAATAAGTTATAGTTAAAGACACATAAATAGAGATGAGAAAAGAGAAATGAAAAATCTTTATTTAAACAGTATTAAATTATCAGAAATTTCAAATTAAGATGACAGTAGTTGTCAAATTTAAAGGCAAATCTACATGACATGAGACAAAACCCAGATTTAGATAAAAGAGAAATAAATGATAGTTACAGTTAGAAGAAAAATAAATAAAAATAAAGAAACATTATTGTTAGTTTAGGAAATTTGTAAATATTAAGTAAGAATTAGTTAAGAAGTGAGTGGAAGAAACAGAAATACAAAGAGAATGAGTGAAAGTGACATAAGTACTATTCATGTGGACAGACCTTAAAGGAACTTCATAGGGAAAAACAGAAAGATGAGCGAAAGTGAGGCCATCTAAATTGTAGAGACATAAGTAACACAAAAAGGTTTTAATTGAAAAAGTATTTCTGTAAAATATTTGAAATTTTGTAAGTCAGCAACCAGGGTTACACCTCTACAATAATAGCAGGTTTCAAATAACAAGAATTTATAGATTAGAAAATTTAAAGTACAGGGTAACCGTGATAATCATTTAATATAAAAAGAAAAGGGGAAAGGTTTTTCATTAAAATATGCTGATATTTAAAATAAAATGTTTTTTTAACTCTTGATTTTGCATAAAAATAAATGTTAAATAATTGTGTGCAACTGTTTTTTTTTCTGGGAGTTTGAACCGACACTGAGATAAAGAGAAACTTGTGCCCAACCTGAGAATTAGCCGAGGTAGAAAAGTAAAATATAAGTATAACACATTCGAGTCAAAAGGAGCAAATCAAAAATTAAAATCAAATTTAATATTTTTCCAAATTAACAACAGTATTTAACAATATATAATTTTAAAAACAGCTAAATTTTTTTCTTTCAACATTCGAGGCTTGGTTTACTTGACATTAACCAATGAATTATAACTTGACTATTCATTTGATTTAAAAAATAATTTCAAATCAGTGTTCTTGGAATCGTGTATTACTGCTACTCTTACTATTTACCCTTAATAGGCCAATTAATAGAGGATTTGTTTGTGACAAAAATTCTAGTAGCAGGTGGACTGTGCCATCATATAAAAGACTGTCTATAGATAATATGTTTGTGTTTCCTACTCCAATTTACTATTAATTAATTTTTTATAAACATTTTTATGCAAAAAAAAAATATATTTTTTTTAGTTTTTTTGCTTATAAAACCTAAACTACCAAAGCAATCTGAATGCTATAGAGAGACAATTTGTAGAGAATCCAAATACAAATAAAATGAGAATTGATCCAATCGGATAATTAGAAACAAAGAAAACCCGAAAAAATCGGAAAATTTTGCGTTTCTTTTTAAATTCATTACTCCACCATTCTTTAAGTTGTAAAGCTGACCCTGTGCACAAAAGCAGTGAATTGTATGTACTTTAAGTGAGTACAAAGCAGGCGCTGTCGGACCAAATAGTTTTGGCACAATTCCAATTTGAATTTTTTGGTGCACTATTTTGCAAAATTTCTGGATGCATTGGAGGTGATCCGATTTAAATTTTTTAGCCGCATTTTAAAAGTCGAAGTATATTACTACAAAATGTATATTCTAATTTTCCAATAAAATGATGCAAAATAGGTGAAAAATTCCTCCAAACATGTTTAAAAACCGCCAAGAGTGCGGATACGGTCAGGTAGTGTGGGAAGATCGGGAGATGAGGGGCAGTGGATATATACTCGTAGGTATACAATTTTGAATATTGTTAGTTATAGTTTAGTTTAATATTATTGTAAGTTTCCACTATATGATTTTTATTTAAATCAAACACTTTCCTTGATTAAAATTTATAAAAACTTTCATTTACATCTTAATACAGTACCGTGTTTCTTAAAATAAATGAGTAAAACTACAAAAGCAAATTCCTAAATATTTGTTGACAAAAATAAAAATTGAGATTCACAAACCGGACGGAATATATTCACAAAATCGATAAGCAGTTTTATAATTTCACAGTTAAAGGATGTCAGTTTTAAAGTGTAAATTAATTTTTTTGAAAGTATATTATAGATCTGGAAAAAATCCAGTACTTACATCTATTTAACTGGAAACGAATGAGATCTTATTTTTAATACTTTGTAACATAAGTATAGGGTGTCCCGATTTATGGGCGTACAACCAATTAACATAATACCCAAGTAAAAAGCAAATGATGCACAAATATTTAAAATATACTTTAAAAAAGCAGATATTTGAAAATTATAACTTCTTCAAATTGCAAATCCTAAACCTGCCATAGTAATTTACGTTATAAGTCCGGTAAATACATTTTTACAGTGTGAGTAAGAAGTTTTCTGGAATTTCGAAACGAGTACTGGAAAAAGTTTACCGTGCAATATTTTATTTCATACTTTCTACAAACAACAAGAAATGTGAGTAATTATTATAAAGAATAATTATTTTATGTGTGGCGAGTTTACATTACATTAATAAAATTCAAAAAAATTTTCTTGAATAGCTAAAATGGGTACATGTACCATTATGAATTTTGATATATCATCATATCATTATACATATAATTTGTTTTGGGCGTCCCAAGCAGGAGGAGGGGCTCGGGTAAAAATTGCCCCAAATTTGTTGCTATTTTCAAATTTAAACAGTAAATTTGATGGTCTGAGTTTTCCATTAAAAATGGTAATGTTGTTCTATATCCAAAAAGCAATCCGTTTTCGAGAAAAATAGGTTTAATATGTTATAACTTTCCAAAGTGTACTTTTCCAAGCACTTAAATCCGTTTTTCTTGGAAATGGAGCATTTTATCGAAAGAAATGGAGAGTACCTTTTTTGTAAAGGAAATGAAGATCTATCATATGTTGGCCTCTAAATTTGAAAATTTAGACAAGCAAAAAAATTGGGGCAAATTTTAGCCGGCGACCCCCCCCCCCAATTGAGACGCCCCTGATCAAAATTTTTCAAAAATTTTATTTATTTTTACTTTTAAAGAGCGTTCATGGTGTCAAAATTCATAATTTTCCTTCAACCCATTTCGGAAATATTAAAAAGAAAAATGAATTTTTTTGAGGCTCCATTTAGGGAGGCGTAGCTTCTCGACGCATGTTTACATGAAAAAATATTTTAATTTTTGGCAATAGAATCAAGTGGTAAATTATTGAACACTAATTATGAGACACCCTGTATATCTAAAAAACTGCTATATCTCGTACAGCAAGCCTCAAACCAAAATATGTGGTTTCACCGTAAAGTGTTGTTTAGCTCCTACAATTCAATTCTTTAACTGCTCTTTAGTTAGTATTGGTACCATATAAAAGATATTTTTCATAAAATCCCAAAAATTAAAGTCTAACGTCCACTAAATTGATGCCGTGTATCCAAAAAAGTTACAATATCTCGTAAATGAGGCTCCGAATAAAATGCCGCTTTATCAAAAAAAATATTCGGAAAGCATAGGCGTACTCAAAAAAAAAAATAGGGGGTCCATGAATACTGCAAGCCCCCCCCCTACCGTTCATACTTTGATATTTTTAACCAAAATTACACAAAAAGTGTGCCAACCTAAGATCAAAATATGCGCTAAATTTCAAATAAACATCTCTACAATCACCGGAGTTATCAGTAAACATCATTTTTTAATTTTCATTTTGACACCCTGTATTTTGAAAATGGGGCTTCTAATTGAAAAGTGGCATGAGAAAAGTTCCATTATTTCAGTCCAAAGAATATGCGGTTAACTGCTTGATTTGTAATACCTTGTATAGAAAGTATTTAGCATTGCGAGCCAAGGATACACAGCATCACAATCCGAGACTTCCCCAAAAAAATAACATTTCTGATATTGCCCGATGCCGATAAATGTACAGGGAATCTTTTTTGAAGAACGTCGCCACTTTACTGGCGGATGCCGAAGTCGATCTTTCGCTGCTTAAAAGACATGGGGAATGGAAAAGTTCTTCTGTTGCAGAACAATACATTGAAGAATCCATAGAGAAAAAAACCGGGAAACTCGCATGATTCAAAGTGGGGAATATGTTGTGTACTCATTTGATTTTTCAAAATTAATGTCAAAAAAGGTGGTTTTACACTTCCATACGGACAATTTACCCTTTTTTAGCAAAATTAACCTTTACTAAAAAAATTGTTATTACAATTTTTCCCAAATTAGCACCTAAAACTCAGCAGGCTTGGAATTTCAACTTTTCTTTTTACTTGCTACCTTATGCCTAAACGCCTAGAAAGTGGGACACCCTGTATTTCGTAGATAACTTAACTCATACTGCCCATATTCATTTTAAAGGCTATTTCAATCAGATTCTGCGGAATAGAGTCTTGATAACAGACGTACATCTCTCTAGGATGTGGAACATAAAATAATCGCCTAAAAGTGTAAATAACAAATTAGAATCGCTTAAAACGTTAAAATACAGGCCTTTAAAGATAGTCCAGACAGTATCTGTCTCAAAAAGCCAAATTTGGGTGAATCGTATATCCACGGAGATTTTTGGCTTTTTGGCTTTCAAATATCTCTAGAAATGAAAATTTTTCTATGCGCATAAAAAAAACGTGGGCTTAACTTTTGGCGGCACAATATGTTAAAAAAATTCCAAAAATGTCATATTTTTTCCTCCTATTTAATTATGTGTCTTTTCAAGAGTTGATTTTGGACGAAAATGAAAGAGGAAAAAAATGTTTGTAATTAATTTATTTACAAAATATGACTAGTTACAAATCGAATGAATCGTAATTATTATGGTAAAAATCGACAAAAATCGCAAAAATGGGGTTAAAAAGCAATACTTTTTAGGGAATTTTTTTGGGGTATTTAAATTAGGTATAGGACCTTCATACTTGGCTCAAGAAAACTTCAGGTTATGTAGAATCATCACACCAAATTTCATCCAAATCGGTTCGATAGATTTTGCATAATAATTTTGCAATGCAGATTTTGAAAAAAAAATTGCAAATTTTCAAAACTTTGCACAGCAAAAACCAAGGCCCTTAGATACTTGAAAATTTAATCACATATAGAAGGGCTCTTAAGCTTTCAAACGCTTTTTGAAAAATTCGAATCCGTCAATTAGGGGAGCTCTGGCGCTTGTTTAAACATTGACCAAATGTTTGTACTTATACACAATTAGAATAACTTTGTGAATATTCAATCAAATAAAATTTTTTAAAGCAGGTTTTAAAAGTTCTTGAAAAGACGCTTCTTTAAAAAAAAATAAAAAAAATTTACAAATAATTCTTTGCGGTGTTGCCAGATTTCTGCAGTAGCTACTAAAACGATATTTTTTTTTTAATTGGCAACACCGGAAAAAATTATTTGTAAATTTTTCTTAATCAAGTTATTTCCTACAACTTTGCATTCGGAAGTAGTCTATTACTTCAAATAAAAAAGTTGGCCTATGTCAGGTTTTAAAAAAATAACACTGTATATACAGGTTGTAGAGATTCTTTTCCTAATGGTATATATATATGTATTTTTTTTTTCAAGGTCGTATTTTTCATATACGAAATAATATATTGAAATGAAAGAAAGATTATTTTTTAATATTAATTTTTTTTGTGATTAAAGTATAATTCAAATATTATTTATTGTTTAAAATATAAGCAAATGAAAAATTAACTCATTACATTACTAATTTTCGTCATATTTTGAAAATAATTGTTGTTTAAACAATTTCAGAATATTTAAATAAATTCGTTTTTGATCTTTGATAAACAGTATATAAGTTTATGCACTTACCTTTGATACAATAAAAAAATAAAGTTGATAAGTAAAGGAAGTTTAAAGATAAATAATTATCGGACTGTTGAAAGACCAATAATTATTAACGATAGGCATTTGAAAATACGCTAAAATTAAAAAAAAAATCATCAAAATCGGACCTCTAGAAGGTGAGATATTAAAAATTTTTAAGCGCATCGCGGTTTTGAACTAGCCGATTCAATTTCGAGCAGGACGAAGCGGCCGCGCTCTCTGCTTCNAATAATTATTAACGATAGGCATTTGAAAATACGCTAAAATTAAAAAAAAAATCATCAAAATCGGACCTCTAGAAGGTGAGATATTAAAAATTTTTAAGCGCATCGCGGTTTTGAACTAGCCGATTCAATTTCGAGCAGGCCGAAGCGGCCGCGCTCTCTGCTTCCCTCACCACCACCACCCGTACGATTTTCTTGAATTTCTCGTTTGCATAGATAACTTTAAACACGTTTTAAAGTAGGTTGTCAACAAAGAAAAGCATTGTAAGTACTCGGAATACCAAAGGTATTTTCCGAAAAATTTGTCCCGATGTCCCAGTACATTTAGTGTAAATGACGGTTAACTTTGACGGTTATAACTACATAACTAATTGACCAATCGATCTGTTTTTTTTTTAAGAAGCGTCTTTCCAAGAACTTTTAAAACCTGCCTTAAAAAATTTGATTTGATTGAATATTCACAAAGTTATTCTAATTGTTTAAAAGTACAAAAATTCGACCTATGTTTAAACAAGCGCCAGAGCTCTCCTATTTGACGGATTCGAATTTTTCAAAAAAAGTTTGAAAGCTTGAGAGTCCATCTATATGTGATTAAATTTTCAAGTATCTAAGGGCCTTGGTTTTTGCTGTGCAAAATGTTTAAAATTTGCAATTTTTTTTTCAAAATCTGGATTGCAAAATTATTATGCAAAATCTATAAGAACCGATTTTGATGAAATTTGGTGTGATGATTCTACATAACATGAAGTTTTCTTGAGCCAAGTATGAAGGTCCTATACCCTTTTTAAATACCCCAAAAAAATTCCCTAAAAAGTATTGTTTTTTAACCCCATTTTTGCGATTTTTTTGATTTTTACCATAATAATGATTCATTCGATTTGTAACTAGTCATATTTTGTAAAAAATTTAATTACAATTTTTTTTTTCTTTTCCATTTTCACCTAAAATCAACTCTTGAAAAGATACATACTTAAATAGGAGAAAAATATGTCATTTTTACGAATTTTTTTAACATATGTGCCGCCAAAAGTTAAGTCCAAAAGAAACCAAAACAGATACCGCCTAGTCTAAGATTACTTTGCCCGTGGCATAATTTTGCGATGTAAGGTACTTACCCGACAACCCAGTAACTGACTTTATACTTTTTAGTCTCCTTATCATCCAGATATGGGCATTCAAAAATGATCCCGTGCTCTTTAATGGCAATTAGACTTTTATTCATTACGGACTTGGCCATATCCTGGGCGGGCATGTTCTAACATTAAATAACTATTAGTGTAAAAACACCATCCACAAAGGGAAAAAACTAATTACCTTGAACCGCAAGGTGTTCTGAAACAATGTGTGAATCTGCTGGCAACACCTCCTGAAGTTGTTCAAAATCAACTCGTAGGTCTGTGTCTGCAATTTCGACTCGGGAGGGCACAGCAGGATGCCTTCGGTTGTGTCGAGCTGCACGAAATGGTACAAGACGTTGTCGTTACCCGCCGTCAGCTGCATCGGTCTACAGTCTTCCGTATCGCAGAGGAGATTTTGCCGAATTTCAGATATATCGAAGCTGCCAACACTCATCTGACTTCCTTCCTAATTAACAGGTAAATTTATAGTTTCAACGCCTTCAATCTACGCTTATACTAACCCCAAATTCATCCGTTTCTGAATCCTCATCGTTGGAATCGAATTTTACTCCCCTCCGGAAATTTCTCCGGGAATCGTCGCTGACTTCGCTCCTCTCGCTGTAGCCTCCCTGACTTCCCGACTCTTCGGACTGTCTATCATAGGAATCGTCGTGTAGAGAAGTCATAGAACTGTACTGCATAACAAAGTTTTGGTCTGAACTGCGTCTCTTCAAGATGGACGTCACTTCGTTCTTTTTCGGAGAACCCACAGAATCCTTGAAGTAAAAAATCAAAGGTGACATTTTTCATAAAAAGCAACTTTCTATAAACAAGCAACATATTTATTACAATAAATGCTAGTGTAGTAATTAAGAAAATCCATGTTAATAGTATAATGGTTCTAAGTAATTTTGAGCCACTCTGTACAATTGTGAGACTAGGTGAGAAATTATCGGAAGACAAGTTTTACTTCCTGGTAAGGTAGCAACTTTGGAAGAAGTGGGAAACGAGCGTTATGGGTGAAGCGCCCAACGCTGCACAAAATTTATAACTAATAAGAACCACGGAGCAAAAATATACACTGGAAGTGGCACCAGTAGATCACCTAGTATAGTAACTTCGGGAATTAAATTTTTTAAGAAATTTCAAAATTTAAACTGGAATCAAGATGTGGGACTCTCTCTTCGTCGTGAGTTTTCATTCTAGTGCAGAGTACTAAATAGATTTGAGCTGTTGTTAATGTAATTTTGACAAATTGGCAACATAGTGGAGTCCAAGATAGATTTCACGAAAATTACTGGAAGAGAGAATGTTTTATTTTTCACTTTGTAAAATTGTCAGAAACAACATATAAAAAGTTACCAACTGTAGAGTGTAGGCTAAATTATTTATTTAACAAATTAGATGCAAAATTACAGTTTTTGCAAAATATATATAAAAATATAATTTCAAAGAAAATTTACTGCGCCATTTGAAAAAACAGGAAATTTTACATAAAAAATGTTAAAGTTTTTTTCTAAAATGCGAATTGAAGGCTGTAGGCGGCCCCCAAGTATAGCCCCGAGCGCGCTACACTAAATTTGTTATAACTTTCGATCTAATTGATCAAATCGTTCTCACAAAAATTTAAATGAAAGAAGAGTCATCCAGCTATCAAAATTTTATGTCTTTAAATATAAAGTACTTATACAAAGTTACGTCATTCTATAATTTTGTACAATAATAATAAAATAGCTGTTATTCTTTTAATTTTTAAATAAATATCTGTAACTTTCACAGATTACTCCTCAAATGACGATTAAAACAGTGAGCGATATGGAAAAGATCTTAAAAATTTAATTTGGAAAATATTGAGCCCAACATATTCAATAATTTTAAAAAATCACAAATTTGACTTTTTAGGCCATACTTTATAGATCAAAAACTACAGTTGTAAATGGTATATTGAAACTTTATGAGAGCACTTTTTAAGCTTAAAATCTCTACTTTAAGATGGTGCATTTTATTTTTCTTAAAAAATTGAAATAATAGTTGTCCTTTTTAACAAATTGCCCAGTTACTGTAGCTGAAAATATAGGTACCTCTGAATTTTTTATAACTGCATCGATTTTTCTCAAAATTTAGAATTAGACTCATCTTACCCACCCACTTCAAAACTTATATATGCGCTAGGTGTGNGTATAACGTTTTTTGATTAATTGATTTAATATTCATTTTTAAAACGTATATTCTGTATCTGAAATTGTGAAAATCAGTTATCTTATTGATGTTTGGAACCCCCCCTCTATCTCAGAAAATACTGCTCAAACAAAAAAATGATTAAGACAAAAGTTGCAGGGTTTTGAGTGAACAATCCAACGGTTTTGTTACTTACAGTTTTATTTATTTTAAAAGCATTTTTCGTTTATACGGATTAAATAATTATTATTATAAATGGTATAAGAATATGAATTTTATGTTTTCGAGTAAGCTGCAGTTATCAGTATGTTGAAAAGTGTATTATTCACATATTTTGTCCATTTTGAGATTATACTCTCGTACACTTGTAATTCTTTAATGTATATTATTACTTAATATTACAAATAATAAACGAGTTTGATTTAAAATCGATAATTGTTAAATAAATTGTTTAAAATAGTCGGCCATATTGGATCAGCCATTTTGAATTTTCATTTTCCGACTTCATATTTTTGTTCAGCGACATCGAAAACCCCTATATTGACAATTTGAAAGAATTCGATTTTAAATTCATCGAATTATTTTAAATGTTCTTAAAAAAACTATAAACTTTAAACAATTAAAAAACAATTAGCGCACAAAAATAAGTTTATAACTTTTTTCTAATACTTATCTCCTAGTAATTTCAAAAGGCTTTAGGAAAATCCATGCTTCTCATAATTATTTCGAAATAATGCGTAATTTTAAGCTATCTTGACTCCACTAACAATGACAAGTCCGCCTTTCATTTGATTGCTTTCCTCTAGTGGAAAATTGAAATGTATAAGAAAATTGCTATTGCTTTAATTTAAATATCTTTTAATATTTCTCTAACGATGTGTAATTAATTAACTATTAATTATATATATAATATCAGTAACTTTCACAGATTACTCTTCAAATGACGATTAAAACAGTGAGCGATATGGAAAAAATCTTAAAAAATTTAATTTGAAAAATATTGAGCCCAACATATTCAATAATTTAAAAAAATCACAAATTTGACTTTTTAGGCCATACTTTATAGATCAAAANAAAGGTACCTTTTGATAATAAAAACAAATCGTATACGAAATATAATATAGAGAACAAAAATTAATAGTAAACGTTTAGCAAATCATCAATACAATATCAATTAAATTAATCTAATTCACTTCATATATTTTAAACTGGCCAAAGTTGTTATAGCATTAAATTTTAATAGTAGAGAAAATTAACAAATATTATATAAGAAGTTATTACTACAATATTTTGAGGTATGCAACCAGTAGTGCATGAAATTTAACTTGACGAGATCATCAATATAACTTCTTATATAAAGATTTAGAAACATTGTGACATACTTCAAAATATATTAACTAGTGTATTTAAGAAATAGAGTGACAAGTTTTGACATATATAGAAATTTTGTTAATAAATACATTTATTACTAAACCTTTGTTTTATAGCTGTGCTTGGTGTGGTTTTTGCTAACACTTGGAACCGACTACAGAGATAGAGTCTCAAGCTAGATAGGGCAAAGATATACAACACATAATACACCAATCTAAACAAAATTAATATCAATACACATAAATTTTAATTTTGGCGCTAACACATAAAACATACAAGACTATACACACATACACAATCATAACAATATATATATATATATATTTATATAATTATATACATATTTATACAATTATATATTATTTTTACCTTTGCGCCATCTGAATTTTTAGAAAAATTTAGGTTGATAAAATCGCCACGTTTCTTGTTTCCTTGAGGAATGGGCACAGAAATTTGGGAACCCGGATTCATGGATAGGAATCGGTCAGCCAATTCACTCAAACCCAATTCCTGAATATGCGCCAAAGTCGCCTGAGCTTCTTCTACGTAAAAAGCATCTGGGCCCATATTGTCTTCGGATGGCTCGGTACAACCACCTGCTTCCATTATTACTGCCAGTAGGTCCTAGATGTTAAAAATATAAATAACATCATTTTTTATGCTCAAATGTACATTGCCGTCATAAATAATTACAAGCCACCTGACCGTCGGGCCTAGGCAACCAACATTATACGACTGGTATAGCCAACTAAAAATCTCTAAATTTTAGTGTCACCAATATTAATGACTCGTTTACAATGAACAATGACAAACTGTTACGTTTATGCTCGAAATAATACAAATTAACAGTCTTACCTTGGCGCTGCCTACTACCAACAAATATCTGCGCCCTTCCGGCACTTTAACCTTAGGGCTTTGTATTCTATTGCAAGAATATGGAAACACTTCTCTCCACAGCACAAGAGACTTCACAGGCTCAGTTCGAGACAGATGAAACAAGCCGTGTTGTTTGCAGAAGCAGTGGATGTCAATCAAGTCTTCGTGAATGAAATGGGTGGCAAGCAAGTATCCAGAATGATAAAGTGCGCTTCCAAGAATGGTGAATAGACGTTGGCAATCTAAAGGTTCTTCGTTCTGAAAGAGATGTGTATTGCCTATATTCGATTTTCTCAAATTCAAATGTCATACCTACCCATTCTCGATAGTCGCTTGCTTCTAATTCAGCAAGAGCATCGTCAATTTGCATTTGAGCTTCATCGGGAAGATTCAAAGTTGCCGCTAATGAAAAATTACTCTCGAATTGACAAGGGCTTACCTCTAATGACTTTGTGGATAAATTCTCCAGCTCGACAAACTGTTGAGCAGTTGCCCACAGCCCACTGCTTAAAACTCTTGCAAAGAATCGAGAGAAGAAGTGGTCAACTTGGGTGAAATATTGCTCATTAGTGAAACACAAATGAACAGTTTCATAGGAAAACTGAAGTAATCTAATTAATTCGTTATTAATTGATAATATCTCTTGTAAGGATGCTCTGTTGTCCGGTAACATAAACAATAGTAAATTTTTCTCAAATGGAGTATAAACCACGTGTGCTAAACAATCCTTATACTTAATTGTCGAGGTATTGGGAGCTGTCTGTGTTATATCATTTAATAAGTGATTCAGAGTGATATACATACCCCGTGAATTACACAAAATATTTTTCTTAAATGGTCTCGGAAAACAATAGATAACATCTTCGTTTTCTTGGTTGTTTTCGTTTAATTTCTCTGTGTCTATATAAACAATTCCTAAGGGATGCTTACATAAAGTTTGCATTAACAGCTGGTCATCGTCAGATTTAAAATTTAACAATTCTCTAACAAAATTTGACTCATTGTTGAGTTCATTTATAGGTGGCTCTTTCGTCACTTCTATACCAGCGACTCTTTGTAATTTCAAGAGCACATCATCACGGTTAATAAATTTTTGTAAAATATCATCTAAATTTTGAACATTAACCTCTATGTTGTTGATACTTTTCAACCAATCTCCAATTTTAATATTTCTTTCATGTTTTGCCTTACTATCATATGAAAATCCTGCAATCATCACCCTGTTGCCATCAGATAACGTACTAACAATAAGACCTAACAAAGATTCAGCTAAAGATTTATCACCGCTTAAATTGTGACGGTTCTCAACATCTATGTCAAGCATAACCTCCTTCTCCTCTCCTTCTTGGAAATCCTAAAAATTTGAATTTGAACAAAGGTTTACAAAAATTTAAGCACCTTACCTGAAATTTGACTTTTGATGTGGTGGATTCTAGATCTACATGTTTGTGCCCTTTCTTGCTTTTTCTTTTACTTTCCTTTCTTCTAATAAGTCGTAAAAATTTACCTCTTGTGCTACGCCTCATTTGATTTTTTGAAAACGGCTCTACATGTTTTTTTAACTTACTTTCCTTATTATTCTGTGTGACAAAAGGATGACATTCTATATATAACAATTCCCCAGAAAAATCATCCACATATGGTTCCCAGTCAGGAACAGTACTTAAATAGCATAGTAAATAAATAATTTATTTCATATTTTTCTTTTAATAAATACCTGTCGGAGTCAGAATAATATGAGCTATAGCTTGAACCATCACTCCACTCGTCTTCTTCAGAACTATGATTTTCAATATCGTTATTTGTTGTCCTAGGATCCAGAAGTCTTTGTGATTCCATTTCACATTATGATTTTGAGGATTACAAAATCGAGACTAAAAAAATGAATATAACCTCTAAATTAGAAATGTCAACGAACTAAAGCCTGGATCTACATGTGAGCATGATCACTGCTCCGTTGTAACCACGTGATCATCAACATCCAATTGTGTGCATCAGTAAAGAATAATGCGACTTTACACTACGTCAAGGTCAAAACGGATGAAAGTTGATTAATTTCAACTTTGTACAAAATAGCTGTTTTCTTTATTCATGATTTCTAAATCATAACGCGTTACGATCCAAAATCTAGCAACCTGATTGCTTTCCATCAATTCGGCGTTATGATTTCGAAATCATGAATAAAAGAAAAGTGCCCCTGTTTGAGTGTTTGTATGTACATATCAATAAATACTCTCCATCACATAATCGGTTAGAGCGTGATCGTTGAAGTAGAATGACAGAGGTAGTACGAATTATCATAGACATTGCATGTGAACGGACCAAATTTCGCATATAAGTATCACGCATACGTATCCGTGATCACGCATGCATGTGGATCCAGACTAAAAAGTTAAAATATGATCCTTTATAGTGTTTTCAAAAAGGACCTGTTCTGAAAAGCGTATTCCTTTGTTCCTATTGCATGAAACTTCGCCAATGTTTTAAATTAATTGCTTTTAATATTCTCTTTCATATGAATTTTAAAAGACAAGCATAAAATTGGAAATAAACATATTTATGTTAAATAGTTTTTAACAAATAAGAAAAATAAAAGTTAAAATTATATCACAAGCAGTTGAAATCAGAATAATTTGGAATGTACCACCAAAGTGACAGTTGGAACGCGGCTATCTGCATTGCCATATTTGTTCGATTAGTTGAGTTGAGAGATGCTCTGTGAATTTAAGTTCAGTACAAGGTAGCTTCTTAAATATCTGAAAAGAATATCTTTCATATATTTGAGTTTGAAAATTTGTTCTAAATTTGAAATGGAACCCTTGGAAATATACGATGCGATTAATAACAAAGTTATACGTGTATATGTGTCTACGGATGTAGCTGAAAAATGTCGCACAGGTTTAAAGCATTTAAGTCAATTCTTTCAATCTCTTAATAAATATTCTTTGCAGATACTGAATTTGCCCAAGATTTATTTAATAAATTGCAAGACCAGGATATAGAAGAAGGCTGTGCAGTGGAAATTGAAACAATAAAGTCCGAAGTGAACGAAGAAGGTGAACCTGCGGAAGGTGATGAATATGAATCCCCCCTTGATGAGAAAATAAATGATAAAGAGGTTTGGAGTAGACACGAAACATTAAAATTAATAAAGATTTATCAGCGGTATAAAGATACGTTTAAAGAACATAAACAAAGAAGAGTAGTTTGGGCCATGATAGCTGCTGAATTGTCACAGTATAATGTTTTCAAATCGGCAGCAAAATGTGCTGAAAAATGGAAAAATTTATTAAGAACGTATAAGGTTGCAAATGAGAAACCAAACGTACCAACAAGATTCCAATATTATCAAGAAATGAAGGATATATTTAATAATACAGAAGTTTCCATATCTGATAGTGAAACGGATGAAAAGGAAGTAAAGTATACCCCATTGTCCTCGGCAGAAGTTGCAGAACTGAAGGATAGTTTTACAGAAGAAGTTCCGGAAAAAGAATCCTGGTCAAGATATGAAACTCTTAAATTTTTAAAAGCTTTTCAAATGTTGAAGCACATGAAACAAAATTTTTCAAAAGAAAAACATTTTTGGTCAATGGTTTCTGCACAACTTGCAAAAGATAATATACATAAACATCATGAGAAATGCTCGGCTAAGTGGAAGAACCTTCTGCGCAGCTATAGGAAAAATTTAGAAAAGCCTAGTATGCCCACAAGATTCCAGTATTTTCAGGAAATGAACGATGTGTTGAATGATACCGAATTAGAAATTGCTGATCATATTATGCGCATTACAGGTATGTAGGTATATAAGAATAGGATTTTAAAACAACTTCTAAATTATTTGAACATTTTTATTGAATGAGCAGAAAAACATTTCTAAATAGCCAGAACTTGTATCTTATAAATTCTTTTTTGTTTTCTTAAATGTTCAGGGCTTTGACATGGTAACCGAAGTAGTTGCATATACAGAAGTGGGAACAATTTATCCTTAAGCAAACTATTCTTATTTTGTTTAAAACTGCTTATACTGTTTTTTCTTTTGCAAATTTTTTGTGTTCTAAAGGGTTTGCGCGTAATTTAAGTACTATTTTAATACAAATCTGATTAATTGCTATTGAAAATTTGTTTTCTTTGATAATAAAGGTGAAATAATACTTTGTAGAGTACATACATTTCATGAGAAGTAATAGAGATAAGTGTTAAAGGAACCGGTGACTATTTCCAATAATTTTCTTGAAAGAGCATGCACTTAAAATTTCTCACCATTGTTTTGGCTTTTTAACATTTTTAAAACAAATCAAATTTACATCAAAATGTATTGATGATAACTAGAATGTGGACTTTTTATTAGTAAATAAAATGAGGTAGACTGTATCACAGACTAGCTAAAAAAGAAATATTTAAAAAAATAGTTACTTATGTAAACCTATATTAATTGTCCTTATTTAACTGCGAAAAACAAGTCGTGTGAACTAAATGAAACACTATCTTATTTTTCTTTTAGCACCTTTTGAATTACGTTTGCTGTGCTCGACACATGAAATTATACTAAAAGTATTACGGTATATTTACCGCATTTAACATCATCTAGCGGCTAAACCGAGCAACTTACTATAGAAATAAATTATCCTAAACCACATTATTTTGAAGTCTAAGTACGTGCCCTCTGTTGGTTTTTATACGGGACATCCTTTATTAATAATTTAAATACAGTGCCGAAAGCAAATAGAGACACCTTTAGTGCCTATTTTATGGCCTATCCAAATATTTTATCCTAGATATGACCAAGATAAATTAAAAAGAAATCTTCTTTGGTTTTTAGTAAAATAATTTGAGGAAAAAATACTTATACCTTCTTGTATCAACTTTTTGAGAGAAATACTTAATGTACAATTTCAGCTAAAGGAATAAACGTCGGTATGTTTTAAATAAAAAATGTTTTTACATTAAAATGAATTACTTCATATGCCTTAATTATTATATACTTATTAGGGTTGTTATGCTTCAATTATCGTATTATTCCTTTGTTTTCAGATGATGTTGAAAAGATTGTAGACCCCGACCAATTCAAAACTATCTTGGAAGAGGCCGAACTAGAAACTTCTAAAGATCCCGTCTCGTGGGCGGCAGACGAGACGTTGAAACTTATCGAGGCCTATAAAAAACATAAAACCAAGTTTAATAAATGTCCCTCAAAAAAATTTGTCTGGGCTGTTATATCATCAGAACTCGCCAATCAAGGTATCTACCGTGACACAGAAAAAATTGAAAACAAATGGAAAAGCCTTCTGCGTTCGTACAGAAGGGGCGAACTTAAAGGAGAAAATCCGAGGTTTTACTTTTATGAAGAGATGTCTGAAGCACTAAACGATCAAAATGTTACCACTACAAAAAACGAGGAAAACGGCACAGAATATTTAGCCGAGGATAACTCTATGGATAATACGGAAATGGTAATCGAAAACTCGGACCATGCATATAGCGAAAATGCTGGATATGAACAAATAATCATCCAAACTGAGCCAGATGAGACTGAAGATAATGAAAACCATTGGTCTTACAGCGAGACGTCAGCCTTACTATCAGCTTACGCAAATTATAAGAAAAAATTCAAAAACGGAAGGAAATCGAAGCTGTGGGAAGAAGTTACGAAGGAACTAAAGTCTGTCGGTATACATAAATCCGCAGAAAGTTGCGAGAAGAAGTGGAAGAAGATGTTTAGTGTGTACAAGATTCATAAACTGAATAAAACCGGACCTGGCCGATTCCAGTTCTATCAAGAGATCGATGACATTCTGAAAGAGGAGTTAGGAGGTGGCGACGGTGATGATGAACCTGTTGGTCCTAATAAAAGATGTAAATGCAGCGAGAAAAGGATGGTAGAGAAGCAGAATAGACACATAGAGCGAATGCAGATGTTGAAAAGGAAGCTGGATTTGGAAGAAAGGAAAGTTGAGGCCTTCGAACTATACGTGAAACACTTTAAAAGTACTAATAGTAGCGGTAGAAGTTAGAATTCTAAGCCAAATTAAGTGATGATTGATGTTAAATTGATTTTTATATTGACAAAAAAAGGATATTTGAATATTTAGGGTAAATAAATCCTTTACTAAAATTATATTTACCTTTCTCGCCTTTTCGATACTTTTTTGTGACAAACTTTGGACTTTTGTTCCAAAAAATCTAAGCAAAATGTTTTATTGTGCTTCCGTATTTAAAAAATAAAAATTTACATAATTTGTATTCTTTTAAAATCTTGTTTTGATATTGGAATTATAAATCCAGTGAAAATAAATTAATGTCGTTGGAATTTAGGCAAAACTTCCACATATTTTTCGAAAAAATTTGTTTTTTAAAATTTGATTAAAAAATAGTCATTCTGAAAAAAAAACTTCTGGTATATGTTCCAGTTGCTCCTATTTGGTATTCAGACAAGTACAAATTATTAATGGAATTTTTTTTTCTAAAATATATCTACAGGGCGTTATTTAAATATGTGGCCAAATTTCAAGGAGTGATTTCAAGATACAGGATGTCAAACTTTTCTTAAAAAATTGTAAAAATCTTAATAATCCTTTAGCCAGTTTTGTTGAAATTTGGCAGTGTTATTTACGCTAGAAAGGGACTAATTTAGCCCTAACTAGATTAAAATTATTTTTTTTCTCTTTTTGGAGAATAAAATAAAAATCACTTTATTGTGGCCAAATTTCAAGGAGTGATTTCAAGATACAGGATGTCAAACTTTTCTTAAAAAATAGTTTTTTTGTAAAAATCTTAATAATCCTTTAGCCAGTTTTGTTGAAATTTGGCAGTGTTATTTACGCTAGAAAGGGACTAATTTAGCCCTAACTAGATTAAAATTATTTTTTTTCTCTTTTTGGAGAATAAAATAAAAATCACTTTATTGTGTGTTCCTGGAACAACATAATAAATTAATTTTTAAGACTGGAATAGACTATTGATATGGAAAAAAAATATCAGGTATAGTTTTTCCAGTTAATTGAAGAACCAAAAATTTCAAGGTATGTACCAGGTTCGGTCGCTAAGCAGCAACTCGAGATTGAAATATTTGAAAAACTTATTCCCATATTTATTTAGCCATACCCATATATAGGTCTGGTCGAACTAAACGTACAGGTGGTAGAAATGTATATGTTCGGTTGAATAATGAGCGTGCGGGCAAAGAGCAATGCGCACTGTTGCTCTGGTTCATTGCAGGCCCGGATCCAGATCCAAAGCACATCATTTTTTAAAGATCTTCAATTTCTCCAAACGACAACAGGCAGTTAGTCGATATTAATGCAAGTCCCCCTTCCTAACCTACACCTTACGTCATCAAAAAAATAACAACAACAACAACAATAATAATAATAATAATGATAAAGAAGTGCTTTGCGCCACCCCCAAAACCAGTCTCTGGATCCGGGCCTGGTTCATTGCGTCATAAAATTCAAGTCGCCTAGCAGTGCAGTGCGGGAATGCGGAATTTTGTGTAATTCAGATGATTTTAATTTATTATAGGCACCCTTCTATTAATCACTATATTACGATTATGAAAGGAAGAAATAAGAGAGATATTTGGTTTACAACATGGCATTTTGGAGACCTTTTGAAATGGAACAAAACGAAATTTACCATCAATATAATAAAATAGTTTGAGGACATAAATAATTAAAATATGTTGGTCAAATGAACATATAATAGAAATTTTTTACACATTACATACAAATTATTATAATTTTCTACCTTTAGCAGGAAACTTTTTTAGGGACACCCATGAAACTCATTAAATTTGATTTCTCAGCTTTTTTACGTATGTTAAACTGACTTCGGAAGAACTATACACCCGTTTTAGATAGTTTGGTAGTTTTAATTTTTTATAATGTTGTCCCAGGGACATGCAATAATGTGATTTTTATAATTTTTTCTCCAAAAAGGAAGCAATATACGAAAATCATTCAAGAGACAAAAAAGTTGTATTTTTAGTTGCTTAATACGGAAAAATTTATAAGTTTTAAAAAAATCAGTGGCACATTTTTATTTGTCAAAAATATTGAATAGGGCAATTTTAATCTAGTTATGGTTAAATTAGCCTTTTTCTACCATAAATAACCAAATTTCAACAAAATCGGCTAATGGATTATTAAGATTTTTACGAAAAAACTGTTTTTTTTTTTAATTTGACACTATATCTTGAAAACGAAGCATTGCCGGACTTAATGCTTATATAAACTTTTCGTTTTGAATGAATCACCCCTTGAAGTACGGCTATGTATTTAAATAACGCCCTATATAAAAGTTTCCTATTTGGCGCAAATTTTATGTTGCCACAGTATAATTTTCGGAATTATCATACCTTGTTAAATATTTATGTGGCAAAAAATTGGGGATGTAATTGGTAACTGAAAAATCTTACTTTTGTGTAATCTGGAAAATTTTTCAGATCAGACTTGAAGAACCTGGAAATATCAGGGAAATTTTTGGTTGAAATTTAGCATATACCTTCTGAAAAAAACTTCCCAAGTTTTTTCTCTATACGCTGTTTCTTTAAACATAATGTTTTTTAGATTAAGCACTTGTTTAATTTGTTTTATCTTCTTTAACTGTGACATAAGGCTTGGATTTCAAGATATTGCAACCTCGTCTTCACACGTGTGATAGGAATATTTTTATTTGTACAAGGTGTAGTGATTTTCTTTTAAAATACCGACATTGGCGCGGGTTTTGGTTAAACGTTCCCTTAATTTGCTTAATTTAATTTTAGAAATCGGAGTGATTTGAAATTGAGACTTTAAATTAACTAAATTCCCCATTATTATCATAACTCGTAAAAAAGAAGACACAAGAAATCAGTATTAAAATTGGTCAATATATCTATCCAACATTTCCATGAATAGAGCTCTTTTAATGAAATAATAATAATAATAATAAAACTTAATTTTGCTTATTACAAATAAATAAATAATTTATTTTAAATCTAAAATGCAAAGGTAATTTTAATATTAGACTATAGAAAAAAACATATTGAATCGGTATCATCTAAGAATATTTTTGTAAAACTTCGTGTCTTAAGAGAAATTAACAGGGAATGTGACAGTATCACATGTTCAAAGAGGCTTCAATATTTTGTAAATTAAGCTCTAAATCAAAATTTTTCAAGGAGTGACATAAATAAAAGAAAGAGACGCTGGGTTAAAAATAACAAAACAGTTGTACCAAACATGTATGCAGAAAAAGTAGGAGGTTTCATGGGTACAACAAACCTGCTTTTCATTCTTGCTTCAATTTCTTTACACAAAAAATATGTCCACAGACATAAGACAAAACCCTATGCAAAATTTCAGCTAAATGTCTTAGAAGAAAAACAAAGTTATTAACAAAAATCATGTCTAAATTCAGTGGCAGCTCTCGACTTGAAGGGCCGAAAAATTTAGGTATACAAATTATTCAAAAAAAGTAAAAATTAAATATAATTGGGCAGTTTTATTTTAAGTACTACTGAAATATACGGAAAATGTGTTCAACATTATTTTTTTATAGTGAATATCCATTCTTCTGCTTTTGTCCGAAATAAATTTTGTAATTACTTTTTCGTTAAAGTTTGATATTTCTCACACCATTGACTCTTCAATAGATATAATTACTGTTGGTCCGTTTTTTACAATCAATTTAAACTTTTACAATCGTTTAAAAACCACACAGGAAACAATACGTAGGTAACAAAATTTTATATCACACCTGAATAAATTACGTTTAACACGGGAAAAAGCTGTGGATGGTTATTAGTTGTTTACTGTCAGACTAAACAGAACCCAAACTGCATAGTAAATATGCGTTACTCCCACTTATTCTTTCACTGCCGCGCGACGGTAACCATGACCACCGCTATAAACATTTTGCAAATGTAGGAGCGAGCTACGCGGAGCCCTCATATTCAGAGAGAATTTTTATTATAAGTCTGTTATTGTAAAGACAGTAGGTAGGTATATGTGAATATAAGAAGTGGAGAATAGATAGTTAGTAGTTGTATTAAAATCTATTTCACCATTGAGTGGCAAATAGTGCTACTATTATAAATAATAGTACTATTTCCTCACGCAACGATTTCACAGACAGGGCAAATATTTTGCTTGACAGAGTTCCTGAATGCAGTCCGGGATAAATGCTATTATATGTACATATTTTTAATGCAGTTTGAAATTATTTTATTTACATTTAAAACTACAATAATTAAAGATATATCGGTTTTACAGTAACTTTATGCATAAAAAAAATCAGTTATTGATAATAATATTTATTACTTGTATATTACAAGACGGTGGAATACATCTACCTACATATGTATATAAATACTATACCTACATTTATTTTGACTTTCAAAAAAAATGTTACACTCAGAAAACGATTTTTAAAATTTATGATTTTAATGAAGAAATGATAAAATTTTGTGTAAAAAAAATTATTTAAATCCAAATACTAACTTAAAAGTTACTGATTTTGATTCATTTTGTAAAATTTATTATTGTATTTGTTGATGAACATTTTTTTTTGAAACTCAATATCACAATTATTTAAGTGCGAAATTTAAATACTCGTACATATATTATCTTATTAGCTTTCGTATGTCTCTCATTCTTTTTTAAGCTATTAAGCTAATTGATACAAATTCAAAAGAATCATATTTAAACTACGGGAAACGACTACTCTGTTTGTCCCATGTCCCATCTAGTATTGAATTACAGCGTGCTAATACTCAGATAAACAGTTGCAAAAAAAAAGAATTTTCCAAAATAAAATGTTTAAGAAATTAATAGAAAAACACATACCTACCTGATGTGATTGATTATTTGAGAATGCAAATAGGTAAGTGTTTAATGTTAAATAGAAAAATACACACCTGATGGTTCAATCTCAAATAATGCAATCATATCAGGTATGTGTTTTTCTATTAATTTCTTAAACATTTCATGTTTAAATTTTTTTTGAATAATTATTTTTTTTACTGACTGTTTAACGAGTACCTATTAGCATGGTGAAATTCAATACTAAGTGGGCCTTGCAGCCCATACAGTTTCCTGCAGCAGGTATCAGCAATTAGTAATTCTTGTCTGTGACACACCTAGATTTTTGGTATTCAAAAACATTGTTTGACTTTATTTGACAAGATTTTTTACATATTATTTTTTTGAATTTGTATGAATTAACGTACACCTTAAAAAAGGATAAAAATATTGAATATACCCAGACCTTGTTTCACACACATGATAATTTAAATATGATATATTATTTCAAATATTAACAAATACCTAAATACATTCTACATTAATAATAATTTAAAGTAATTAGAAAAGGATAACATAAGCAATAACATTGAAATCAATTTCTATAACAACACATTTTACTAGCATACAAAATATCCCGTTTCGCATATTAAAAAAAGCATAAAGCAAAAATAAGGTGTATTAATTTGGTGAATTATTCACGAAAAACCCTAATTTAAAAATAAAAAGAAATAGGAATAATCCGATGTTTGAATAAAAAATCTGAATTAGTACATTGTTAAAGCGATATTTTTCCTTTTATTTTCTCAAAAGAGATAGCTATCAAATTAAATAATCACGGTTAGTGACAGATATAACGAAATACCATATACTTAATTTTGCTATACCTATTTTGAAAATATGGAACAAAGCATGACTTTAACAATAAAATTAGTATTCTTTTATTCGCACACCTGAATGTGGATTATTCCAGTTAACTTTTATTTTTCAATTTTACTGAATGATACTACAGACAACTGATTTAAAGCAAGCATTCTTTAAATTTTTAATAGATTAAAATATATTAACAAACATTATTCTAATTTATGCCTGCAATTTATTAACAATATATATCACCAATATTAAAATGTCACTTATTAGGTAGCTATACCAGAAAAAATTACAATTTGAAGGATTTGTATAATAATAAAATGCAAAATTAAATTTGCTTTATTTCACAAATTTATTTATAAATTTCAAAGTTAAAACCATATCAGTCTCAAAAAATTTTGTAAAAAAATATATATTTAGAAAAATAACAAAAAAAAAAGATAACAATAAACAGAGAAACAAAAGTAACAATGTTAAACTGAAAATGGCTAATGAATTTTAAATATGCATTTTAACAAAATATTAAAAAATTATAAAATCTCATACATTATCAGCTGCCAAGAGTGCAAATATTAATAATTAAAGGAATTAATGTCTATATGCACATGTTTTTAAGTATTTAAGTTGATTATTTTGTTAAATTAATATGTACTTCGAGCAGCTGATTATTTGTGCTGTATTTATTCTCAATTAATGAAAAATCTATTTTTACGGGCGTACGTGAAGCGTATTATCAGGGCGGATAACCAAGTTACCATTTCTTTATAATCTTTATATGAACATTTCCATCCGCGCTGCATGTGAAATGCTCATATAAACAGTTGGTACTTGGTTATCCGTCCAGATATAACGAAAAAATAACTACATACGATTCCTTTCTCTATGGTTCCGCTTTGACCATACGCTTCATGTGAAACGGCTGTTACGTAGTGCCGTGTACTTCTTGAAGGTGAAATGCCTACATAATACAATACAGCGTACTTGTAATGGTGGTTGCCTAGTTCCAGAACGAATAAAAATCCAGAAAATATATAAAGAATTTTGTTTATCACTGATGATGGGTGATTTTATTTTCAAATCACACAGTTCTGCTTAAATACACACTTGAGTAAATTATATAAAAATGAGACATCCGAATAAAAAGAAATTAATTGTTGTACCGTTTCTATTTAAAATTTCAAAAAATTTATGGTTAGATAACTTATTCACTTTCTTTATTGGAGGGGATCGTTTATGTTAGAGGTGTGACGTTTATTCTTGTAAACGCAACACATTCTCTGAATGCACGAGGTGTGCCAAAAATAATTTTGTTTATTGATTATGAAGTAGTAAATGACAATCTAAATGTGTTAATATTTGTAGTGTGCTTTGAATACTTCAAAACCGAAGTGAAATTTCCAATTCAAGCTGCTCGAGATTTCAGTGGCAGTGTTAACTATTTTTCGACGGGTAAAAAATACTCTCCATTATTATAAATTATATTATATTCTTTATGAAACATACAGACAATCATACATGAAAATTGATGCGTCAGTATAATAAAAATGTCTCGAAAAAACAATAGTTGATCACTAGTAGATATTAGTTTACAAGAGATATGATTCGCAGTCATTAATGATCTATGTAGGGGTGTATTAAGCGTTTCAAACCTTACATCTAAATTTAAAATGAAGCGTAGTGTTCTGTGTGACTTAAAATTAAGAAAGTTATTATAATAGAATTTGTACTGAGATCGTATAAAAATATATCTCCTAATATTAGACAAAAAAAGTCCTTCTATGTAATTTTTTATTAACATAAATTTGAAAATCAAATAAACTTGACTAGAACTAGAAGTTTTTTGAAATAGAGTGATCAAGTTAGAGATAGAGTGTCTGTTTATGAGAGGAACGCCCTGACCGTAGCCTCTAAGGGTCTCCTGCAGACGGCACATGTTTTTAAAGCGGCAGCACAATCCACACAAGCTACAATATGTCCACAAGGCAAGAATACCACACCTAATTCATTCTTAAAGCAGATCTTACACAGAGTTTTTTCCGCTGCCTCGGATTCTTTACCCGCGAACTTTTCGCACTGCCCACTTAATTCCGGAGCACCCGAAGCCGGCTCCTCTTTGGCTTTAGCCTCCTGGCTGGAGGAGGGCAGGGAGAGCTGACAGTCTTTCTCGCGTTTAACTTTCTCGATGTAGTCCACCCCCTTTTTCAGGATCACGAATATACATTTGCTGAACCACAGCGCGTGCTGTTCCCAGGGATCGTCATCCTCTTCCCAATCTTTGAGACCCCCGCCACAGTAGAAGCACAACGTCTGATCCCCCACGCCGGTATAGTAGAAACCTGCCTCTGCTAGCTCGGCGGGCTTTTGCTTTAACGATTTGGGCCAATTCTCAAAAGTGGTTAACCGGCTCTCTACGGTAATTTTGTCTTCGTTAACTGGCGACTTAATTTTATGGATGCCTAATCGCTTGTAATCTAATTTATTGTCCTCGGGAATTGAATTGGGGAAGATTTCTATGCCGCGTATACCACAAGTATCTAATGATCTTCTGGCACCGCCCTCGGAATGATCGTGTTCTATATTACGTCTTACAAAGGGGCAATTTGGACTCCAAACCCTGTGATCCTCCATTGGAATATCACCAGAAACCCAGCGGTGTCCCTCTATTTTGCATACCGGGCACTGGACAATATCATCTTCTCCGGTATAGACAAATCCCGCTTTTGCTAGACTTTCCTTAGACACGTGGGGATTGGGCCACTCTTCGAATGTTCGGAGTCTCGATTCGAATTCTGGGTCAGACGTTACTGCGGTCTCTAAGCTTGATTGTGAAACATTTACAATATTATTGGTCTCTTGAATATTTGATTTTGTTTTGGAACCGTTATCAGGTTCGTCAAATATATATCCTATGTTCGATATCAGATTATTTTGTCGGCGAGGAACTACCACATTAGCCATATCTACCCTTTCACGACCAATAACTCTGTAACAAAAAGTGTTTGATTAATTCAAGCGATCCAACAATCATTTTTGATTTGATTTTGAGAACTGTGTTGTATAATCTAGTGCAAATAACAGTACCCGGACTTTGAGCTGCGTCGCGTAACACTTTACCGAGCCGCTTGGTTACAATAAATCGAGTACAAGAGCACTCAGGAGGTACGAAGGACGTACGGCAACGTCGCTGGAATTCAGAGCCATTCACGATTCCCAGCATTCTTTCGTACCGCTCCCCGGCCCCTTGGTAAGTATTAAAGTATCCAGCCCTACCACATTCCAGAGAGATCACATCAATGACCGAGCGCCGGAAACACAAAAAAAGAACGACAGAGATAGACCTATGCCTGCCTTCATCTCAGACGGATTCTTAGAAAAACACCGGTAAGCGGCATTATCAAGGTACTAATCGATAAAAACGGCTAGTTAGCCACGCGAAAACTATTTTCTTTTAGATTACAGTGAAACTACGGTTACGAAAATAGAAATCGTTAAAAGCGTAAGTAGAACACAAGGCTGCGGCAGACATATGGCTGCTTTGTGCTCGATTTTTGCCGAGTTATAACAACGCTATGGTACGGGTCTTATCAATTTTAACTAACCTTGCAAAGAGGATCAATTTAAAGTCTTCGTGGCGGTGCTAACATTTTTAATTTCGCTATAAATATCAGAAACAGATAACACACGAATACTGAGACAAGCTCACAGGAAATTTCGACACGACAACACAATAACGACAGCGCCAACTGTGGTGAGTTGAGTTGAGATGGTTGCGTTTGCGTTTATTCTACCACAGGGCGCAAACTCAACTCCCTCCGCTCGGAAGAATTTTGTTAACTGCGATAGGCCAGTCAAATTTTAACTTTTTCAAACCACAATTATCTAATTTAAAATCGATAGGTTAGCAGGTACTATGCACCAAACAGTGTTTTTAGTAATTTGTGATAATGAGGATGTAGGTATAATTTGCAAAAATGATTTTTCTTTCGTCATTAATATAGAAGAAAAAAATACCCCCATAATTTTCAAGATTTTACAAGAAATTCCCAATTTGCACTGTTATCTTTTCTAAGAAAAGTTGTGTCAACTACCTACGCTTCATTTTTTTTGGAAAATTTGTTATTAATTTCAAGAGAGCAAAGCATGTTCTACATGCATAGGTATGTAAAAATGCTTATTTAATATCTACCTGAGTAGAGATTTAAGCGGGTCCTCCATTTGACAACCGTAAATCAAATTTGACATTTAGCTATACAAGTTTGTTTTCCAGTAAAATTTTTTGTATTTAAAATTCATAACTTAAAGCTTAGGCAATCGACTGGTCTATATTTTAATATAATATACATATTTGGATTTATATGTTTTCATAAATATTTGCAAACATTTTATTATTATATGAAATAGTTATTTCCAGCCGACCAGTCCCTTTTAAATTTCTTATGAATGAATGAAAATCATTACGCAAGTTTGTAGACACTCACGTGCTACTAGATCGACCCCAGCTAATTAAAAATGGGTATTATAATCAAACGTAGTCTTTGAACAGAAAATAAAAGAACGAACGTATAAACATAAATAAAAACTTACGTTTTAAATTCAACATTATGCTTGATTTTCACGGTTTCGATGGAAAACGTGGTTCGCAACTAGAAATTATACCAATGGAACACTAGAGAACAGATCGCGGACCGTGAGAAACTAACATGCAACACTAAACTCAAGTGCACATTTACTGTTAACTGCAACGCGCAAGATGTAATGGGAATGAGAACTGACGAGAACCTGGGCAAATCCAATGTATATAATAGTGGGTGGAACCCACGGCTTTATTCGCGTTTCAAATGTTTATTATCAGTTACATGTACTTGGTGGATGTTTTTTATGCGTAACGCAACGTGGCCCTTCAGTGGAATTGTTCCAGAGAATTAAAAGAATATTCCGGTAAACAACAACGATAAGCAGAAGTGCATCGAAAATTGAATGATGTCTTTTTTGTCCGAAATGGCATATATACGGGGTGTAAGACATTTAATTTTGAAAGTAATTAGTACAATTAAAATTATAACATTTATCTAAATATTTCTGTTGGCCAAAATAAGTTGATTGAGCCAGATATACCTTATGCAAACGTTGTTGGTTTTAAAGATACAGGGCGTTCAATGTTTGAATTTTATTTTGAAATGTCTCAATAATTTCAAAATTGTCAGAGTATGAGTATCCCTAAGAAGCAATTACATTAAAAACTTCAGTGTTTCGACACCACTTAGTGTTTTGGAATTTAGATACTTAACGATGTTTCTAACAAAAGACGTATGCCACATTCCTAATTTTTATTATATAACTTTTACACCAATGATTTTTAACTACCTACTGATGGTTAAATAATGTTCAAAATTTTGAAGAAAAGCAAATTATATAAATTTTTTGTGAAAATAATACTTTGAGAGATATTTTAAATTTATCAGCTCAGCTCTGTAACAAGCTTATTTTAAATTAAAAAAGAAATAATAATAAATTAAAAAAGGGCTTGTTTTTTTTGTTCAGATGAAAGATGCTCTTAAAAAAATATAAATAAACTTATCCAATTTCCACAATACGTAGTGACAGTACCTTCTAATAATTCCGTCACTTGTTAATAATTTTTAGTCCATCATTTTCAATACATATATAAAATAACACCCCGCATCTCAAAAACAAACGTATCATTTTGATCTAAAGATTCTAAAGTGATCGAAGAATAATCCCCTGAAATTATGAAATGGTCTTAGAAAGAATCCTGTATAATAATCGATATAGCGATAATATTGAAATTTACTTTAGGCATGCGAATAAAATATATACAGGGTGGTCCGAATTTTATGCAGGAAACTTCGAGGGTAGATAGATCTCTTTAAAATAGTATGTGTTTGCCTTATAAACATAGGTCCGGAACGGCCTCGTTTTAGTGATACAGGGTGTTGAAGTTGTTAAAAAAAATTTATTTTTTGTTTATATCTCCGGAATCCATCAACCGATTTCAATATAATTTAGTACAGATAATGTATGATAATAGGCCTTGTATTTCCTAAAATATGAGCTCTAAAGGTCCAACCAGTGGTGTACAACTGGACAGGGTCACCCCTTTTTTACAAAAAAAAACTTACGCCACTGTATTTTTTACAAGCTGTTGTACCAAATTTATATTCTAATGCACAAAATACGTAAAAAAGGTAACTTGAATTTTTTCCCTAAAGTTCACCGTTCTCAAGTTATTCATACCAATACAATCTCCTTGTGGCAGACACTTCTAACCATAATATTACAAAAATATATATGTTTATGCATAAAAGTAAGTGCAATTTGTAAGCCGCTCGACACCTTTGTTTCCTCTCATCGCTTTCATCTTTTTGGATTAAAACAATATTTGGAAAATCAAGACAAAGGAATGAAAGGCACAGAAATGAAATTTTAAAAGCATTTGACGACGATCCTCGGCTAAGTACACGAAGAACGTCTCGGCAACTTAGTAAATTGAAAATTTGAAAAGTTCTACGTAAGGATGGCAGAAATCCGTACCATTTACAACCTATGCAAAATTTACTTCCGGGAGATGCAAAGAGACGCCTGAATTTGTATCAGTAGTTGTTTGAATTCTTACCAGAAATACTTTGGACCGATGAGGCTACGTTCACGAGGCAAGGGGTAGTGAATTTTCACAATCTGGATATTTGGTCACAAGAAAATCCTCATGAAATTCGGAGTCATTTCTAAACCGTCTAGAAAACCATTAAATCTACGACAAAATAGCTGGATACAAATGGATGGTGCTCCTGCGCATTTTAGGAGAATAATACAAGAATGGCTTAATGAAAATTATATGAGATGATGGATAGGTAGAAGACCAAATGCCAATGTCAACCATAATGGTGCCGAAGGTCCAGTGTCTTGGCCAGAAAGATCGCCAGATCTAAACTCCATGGACTTCTATGTTTGGGGTGACCTACTTGAAAAGTTTACTCTACTCCAATAGATACTAGATCACAACTAATGCAGCGAATAGAAGACGGGTGTAATGAATTAAAAGAAAACCACCACATGATATTAGCTTCAATTAGTTCCATTAAAGAAAATGTCAGAAATGTATCGATGTGGGTGGTTCGAATTTTAAACAATTGCTGTAAATACTTAACGTTAATTTTGTTTCTTGTTTAGTTGTTGTTGCTTGGTAAAATACATGTATTTTTATTATTACTTTGATTTAAATTGTTCTTATTTGTAAAGATAATACCTCCAGGGAAAACTAAAACACACCAGGAACAATACCTCACAAGTGATGTGGAAAGAATTTTGTTGATGTGCTTACAAATTGCATTTACTTTTATGCATAAACATAAATATTTTTGTAATATTATGATTGAAGTGTCTGTCACAAGGGGATTGTATTTGTATGAATAACTTGAAAATGGTGAACCTTAGGGAAAAAATTCAGGTCACATTTTTTACTTATGTAGTGCATTAGAATATAAATCCGTGACAATAACTTGTAAAAAATACAGCGGCGTAGGTTTTTTTTATAAAAAGGGGGTAACCCCTGTCCAGTATTTGTACCAAATTTTATTTAGATCGGTTAATACATTCCTGAGATATAAACAAAAAATATAAATTTTTAACAACTTCAACACCCTGTATCTCTAAAACGAGGCCATTCCGGACCTATGTTTATAAGGCAAACACCTACTATTTTAAAGAGATCTATCTACCCTCGAAGTTTCCTGCATAAAATTCGGACCACCCTGTATACATATTTATTTTGTCACATAACGTAAGGTACCTACTTATATTGATTTTTTTTTCTTAAAGTGTTAAAGGAATGAGAGATTTATGTTATTATATTTGTGTTTATATATATCTATAAACACCATTAATAATTTTAAGTCGATATTTTAATCAGATTTGTAGGAATCATTATATTTCCACAAATCACTAAATGAGTAGGCATCTACCTAT